GGGTAAGGAAAAGGCTTTACTAATCCCAAGGAACCACTAGACTGGGGGTGATCAGACAAATACACCCCCTTTGTTACCCTCAATACCCAACTGAGAGACAGGCGGAGGGCAGCAGCATCAGGCTCGGTCCTAAAACCAAACCCTACCCATACCCAAGAGAGTCCTCAGTCAGACAGGAGCCTGCAGCAGCCCCATTGCCCTGCTCCTCTGCCTGAGCTGAAGCCAGTTCCTTCTGCAGCCAGGCTTTTACCCTGGTCTAAGCCCAGGATAAAGAAGGTTTTTATCTCACCTGGCTCAGTGAGGAGCTGCTCGGTTGGCCCCAGCTCACAGGGGAAGAGGGGGGAGGAGGTTTGGATGTGCCGGGGTGTCCAGCAGGATCTCTGCTCACGATAACCCTGTTGTGGAGCTCCAGGCTGCGCCCTGCCACTGGCTGCTTGTGCAATAGGATCATAGAATAGGGTCACAGAGCAGTTAGGGTTGGAAAGGACCTTAAGATCATCCAGCTCCAACCCCCTGCCATGGGCAGGGACACCTCACACTAAACCATGGCACCCAAGGCTCTGTCCAACCTGGCCTTGAACACTGGCAGGGATGGAGCATTCACAACCTCCCTGGGCAACCCATTCCAGTGCCTCACCACCCTCACAGGAAAGAATTTCCTCCTTATATCCAATCCAAACTTCCCCTGTTTCAGTTTGAACCCGTTACCCCTTGTCCTATCACTACAGTCCCTAATGAAGAGTCCCTCTCCAGCATCCCTATAGGCCCCCTTCAGACACTGGAAGTCTGCTCTGAGGTCTCCACACAGCTTCTCTTCTCCAGGCTGAACAGCCCCAACTTTCTCAGCCTATCTTCATACAGGAGGTGCTCCAGTCCCTGATCATCCTCATGGCCTCCTCTGGACTTGTTCCAACAGTTCCATGTCCCTTTTTATGTTGAGGACACCAGAACTGCACACAATGCCCCAAGTGAGCTCTCACGAGAGCAGAGCGGAGGGGCAGGATCACCTCCTTGGACCTGCTGCTCACGCTCCTCTTGATGCAGCAGGGTACAGTTGGTATGCAGGACAAGTTACCCACGCTCCAGCCAACCCCAGCTCCCTGCTCCTGCTTTCTGCTTCCCAGGCTGGGTTTCAGGAACTGATTCAGCTCATGAAAGGGACAAATCACCATAGATCAGCACCGGGACTAAGGTGACAAACCCAGCAGGAATGTGCAGCCAGGAGCAGCGACTGGCTCCTTTTGCCACCTACAACTGATTTATTCTTACTCACTTTGGGATGACTTTGAGAGGTTTTGGGGCAGCACTTCCCTGATTCTGGATTTCTGTGCTTGTTTTACTACTCAGCAGCAGGAAGGTCTCCAGGCACCCAACTGGTGACTTGCAGCTCTCAGAGGAACCGCAGCAAGGGATGTTTCTCAGTGGGCAGAGAGGGGAAGCAAAGCCACAGCCATCCCCATCACAGGACCCCCGTGTAACACAGAGGCTGTTTCCTGCAGGTCCTGGTGACAGGAAGGCTGGGGCCGGGGCAGTGCTGACAGCAGCACTCCCAGATCCCACTCAAAGCCTTGCTTTTAAAAGGAGGCAGCTGCTGCCAGCTGCAAAATGAGACCTCCATGGTGGCCAAGGGGCAGAGGACACTGCTGCCTCTTGGGACCAGGCCAACATCAGCAGCCTGGTTTTAGCTGCGCCTCCAGCAGCAAGCGGCAGGGGCAGATCTGCCAAGTGAAACCAGACCCAAGAGCAGCTTCCAGGGGCCCTTCAAGCTAATGCCAGCAGCTCCCAGAGACCCAGAAGCCATTTGCTGCTGGAGGACAACACCCATTTAAACGTTACCTCGCACAGATCCAGCGAGCACACCCCAAACACCCTCTGGGATGCACAACAGAGCTCACAAAGTGGCCTCAACTTGGAGATCTGCACGTGGAGTGGAGCTAACAGTGCTCTCGGAGCTGCATCGTGTCAGCTCTCCCTCTGTGAGCCCCTTCAGGGGGGGAGAGCAGGCAGACATCACCCAGGCAGACTGCAGGATGAAGAGGACCATGCTCAGGTCAGAGGAGATGGCAAACGGCTTGGGAAGGCTTCTGGGCACTGGCAGCATTTGCCCATTGGGGTATTGCAGTCCGTGGAACCTGCTATGGAGCCCGGGTGCCTCAGTGCTGCTGGTGAAGATGCAGCTGCTCCAAAGAGCTTTTCCCCTTGAGGTGTTATCAGATGTGCTCATCTTCCCTTACACAATCCCCTACCTGTGTTTTAATGAGGGCTGCAGTGCAGGAAGCAGAATGCACAGACCTGATTGCAAGAACCAGCACATGACTGGGGAGGAGAGAAGCAAAGAACCAAGCAGTTCCCTCTGGGAAAGCTGCAGGGCTCAGCCTCATCTCCCAGTGCTTAAGAGATGAGCCCAGCTGCAGCCTCTGCTCAGCAGCACTGTTTCTTCCAAGCAATGACAGTTTTCCATTGCCCTGCAATGGGAGAGCACAATAAAGCCCATAGCCACACACAGCACAGGGAAGCTCCGAGAGAAAAACCAGCCAGCAGCATAACACAACCTCAGCACCAGTCCCAGTTACAGCAGCCATGCAGAGACCAGTCCTGCACCAGAGGCTACAGGAACAGCATGACTGGTTACATCACTTTAGAAACAGTGGGACAGACCCATATATTAACTGAAGCAGTCAGGGAGGGACTGAGCTAAGGCAGTGTTTGAAGTGATCCCCTGCTCAGGAAAGCAACTGCTACCCTGGAGCTCTTGTCCCCACCACTCATCAGCCCTGGAGTCCCACCTCTTGCTTTGGATTTCACAAGAGGCAGGACTTTCCTCCACGTCAAGTTCTTGCCTATTTACCTGGGAGTCCTCAATTTCCATACTGACAACAACAGCAGAGTGGGAAAAACTGACCCATGCTGTTTGTCACCACAGCATACATTGGTTTCATAGAATCGTGTAAGAATTAGGGTTGGAAAGGATCTTAAGATCATCCAGTTCCAACCCCCTGCCATGGGCAGGGACACCTCACACCAGAGCAGGTTGCCCAAGCTCCTGTGTCCAACCTGGCCTTGAACACTGCCAGGGATGGGGCACTCACAACCTCCCTGGGCAACCCATTCCAGTGCCTCACCACCCTCACTATAAAGAACTCTTCCCTTATCTCCAACCTGAACTTCCCCTGTTTCAGTCTGAACCCATTACCCCTTGTCCTATCGCTACAGTCCCTGATGAAGAGTCCATCCCCAGCATCCCTATAGCCCCCCTTCAGATACTGGAAGCTGCTCTGAGGTCTCCATGCAGCTTCTCTTCTCCAGGCTGAACAGCCCCAGTGTTCTCAGCCTGGCTCCATACAGGAGGTGCTCCAGCCCCTGAGCACCCTTGTGGCCTCCTCTGGTCTTGCTTTACCTGATGAGCTGACGTGGTCGGACTTTGTGAGGGCTCCCACCTCCTCTCTGTCACTTTGGCATCAGCTTAACCAGGAAAACCAGGCAGGAGACTCCACTAGCCCAGCAGGAGAGTACCCTGCAAGATGCTTCCATGCAAATAGTGCATGCGATCATCTTCCTACAGAGCTTAATGGAGCTAATGGGAAGGAAGGTGTAGGAATGCAGCTGAGGCAGGGCAAGGAGTAATCACTGCTTAGAGACAACAAGCACCTGATAAAGACACAGAAGCCAATGGAAGCAAGAGCTCACTAACTGCTCTTAAGCAAAACTGGTGCAGGATTAGGAACTGGAGGCTCACAGGAGAGCCAAATGAAGCCCAGGAGCTAAGCTGTTTGAGCCTGTTTAACCTACTCCAGCACCCTGTCCTCTCTCTGGATAGAACAGCTCTATCCCAGCATCTCCATGGAGCTACCAGACAGACTTCTGCAAAGCTAATGCAACACGGAAAGATGGTTTTCCAACATTCAGTACCTCCAGCATTCCCTCCAGAGCCAAGTTCAACCTCGTGGCACTGATTTAACAGAACAGACTTTATTGCTTGGCCAAATGGACCTGCCAGAAAGGACTGGCCCAGACCACTGCCATAAAAACAGATGCAGAGGGACCAGATAGTGACAACCCTCATGTAAGGATGAAGCCAAGAGAGAAAACAGCTCAACAGGGTAACCCTGCTACCTAAAGCACATGTTCTGAAGGGTTCTCCTTTTCCTGCCTGATTTCATACAGGCAACCCCCTGGTCACCAGCTTTGCTGCTGGCTTTAGACAAGTGAATGAGGTTTAGCTCACAGAAGGTGCAGCAGCTCACTTCAGCCTCCTATAAGCACACAGAGCAGCCACCAGCATTCAGCACCATGAGCACCAGCAGCACTTCCAACCAGGAGCCAGACCCCACAGCCAGGCTTCTGCAGACATACCTGAGCTGCAAAGTGGACCAGCAGCAGTAACCAGATGGAAAGTGGAAACACACATCCTACAGCAAGCTTTTGGATTACAGCACCCTTCAAGTCAGCTTCTTCGACTAAAAGTGACCTTTAATGAGACTCTTTGGGATGTGTTTTAATAATTAATACAAGTTATGCAGCAGCTATGTGAGATTTTGCTGGCTCTTTGGAGAGAATGTACAAAAAGGTGTGAACCCTGTGTGGTTTGGGAGGGACGTGGGCACAGTGTCAGTTGTCCCTCATGGGTTTTGCTGTCTGCCCATGAAGAGAAGCACAGGCAGCTTCCATAAAGCCTGGCTTCTTGACAGAAGAGGTGCAGAGCCCAATGACCCCCCAGAAACCAGCTTTTAACACTTGGGAACATGCACAATGATGAGTATTCCTTTAGCTCAGAGCCTTCAGAGTGGGTGCTACAGCAAAGACATTGCTTTGAAGATTAGAGTGACCCTGACAGAAGTGAGGCAGCAGCAGAGATGAGGGAGGACATGAACTGACAGGATTAAGCAGGAAGACCCAAACTAACACACAAGGAGAGTGGGGCTCGCATGGGATAAAAGCCATATTTACAAGTCCTTCACGTTCAAGAGAAAGACAAGGGAAATAACTACCCTCAGGCAGGCTTGTGAAGATACTTTATGTTTAATACATCTGAAAAGAATGCATATACAAAGAACTTAGACATGAAAAAGCATTGGTTCAACACTACCGAGTCTACGAGAAACCGGAATTTGGGGAGGTGGAGAAGATTCCCTAAGACTTAAACTTTGAATTTGCAAGGCCAAATAATCTTGTGGTAAACCCCTACGATGGTGCAGTCAGTGTGGGAAGACCCTGCACACACCTCAGCGGGCTGGAGCCCATCTCATGGGTTCAAGGGTACCTAGGAGCCAAATGCAAAGGGGATTCCCTTCACTGGTCCCTGCATGGTGCTACCCAAACACCAGAAACCCCTCCCTGCAGCTCCTTCCCACTGACACAGGTCTGCCCTTTCCACCCCTCTCCCAGGAGGATGCTGAGCCATCCAGGAAGAGATGCACCACCAGGGCCAGCTCCAGAACTCATCCGAACCCACAGCAGGTCCTCTCAGTGTGTCCATCAGCAGTGTTATGTGCTGGTCACTGTCATTAATTTCTCTCTTAATTGAGGATTGGCAGAAGATGGGTTTGTTAAGAGCCAACGGCATCATTGGGCGTGCTTTAAAAGGTGCAGCTCTTTCTCCATCACACAACAAAAGCTTATAATGTCAAAGATTAAGAAGAGACTGGCAAACTACTTTCAAGTCTGATGGTGCATCCAGAGAATAGGATTCTCCTATTCCTAAGGCTTCATAACTTAGAGGACGGGGTAGAAATTTATGACCTGCACGGTGGAAAGCCAGGGGAAGAGATACAAGGCAACTTCAGAGGAGATGCAGATACATTTTCTACACTCCTCCTTAGAGGAGCACCAGCTTGGGACATTTTACTTTGCCGTGTTTGTAAGTCTGCTCACACCCAGGCTGCTGGCTGGCTGCAGAACAGCCCCACAGGTTCTTGCCACCAGAACTAAGTCTTGCCAGACTGGCCTAAGGGACGAGGCTGCAGTAAGGCAGCCCAGAATTAGTCTGTTACAGAGAAAGTCATCACAAGCATGCCTGGATCTTAAACAACAAAAAAACAAATTAGAAACAGTAAACAAAATAAAAAAAACTAGTACTGATCAGTGTTTTCTGGTAATAGAGAATTACTCAAAATTAACTAGTTTAACTGAATTGAGGGGGCACTGGGGAATAAACACTAACATTCTCATCTCACACAGGGCTGGGGGGGGGATGGGAGTGAAGGGCATTTGTCATTATTGCGAAAAACAAACTTTAAAATTTGGATCTTTAGTTTGATTTTTAAACATTGCTTTTAGTACGACATCAAACACCAGCTCTGCAGAAGGGGCTCTGGAGGGACGTTCATAGCAGCACACACCTGCGAGTCTTCTTCGGCTCCGGAGGCTCCAGGGCAGCCAATATCGCTTCGTCAAATACATTCTTTAGGCCTTTCTGGAAAGGGGCAGAGAGAGAAAGGGGCAGTCTCATTTCAGAGCTTTCACACAAACACAAGCACCGAAAGCCAAGAGGCTGAGAAACCCCTGAACAATGAGCCCAGGTTTGACACCTACAACTCCCAGAGCCTCCACTGCTCCTTCCCAGCGCCTTGCTGTGCTTCAGCACCTGGTTTTCTGAACAGGAACATGAATCCTTTGAGACCAGAGCAGAACACTTGGTGTATACTTGTCCCTGCACACGGCAGGGGGTTGAGCTAGATGATCTTTAAGGTCCCTTCCAACCCAAACCATTCCACGATTCTATACTTCACACGAAGTACCAAAGTCATTTCCTTAATGCCATTTTTATCATTAGCTGGCTGCTAACACATTTCACATGCTAATGACAAAGCAGAAAGTGCTGCATTCAAATGGAAGAGCCTGATCCGGAGCAGCAGACACCCGTGTGAAGGAGAGGAGACAAGGCAAGAGACATGCAAGAGAACAGCCCCGGTCCCGTGCTGGGCAGGCTCTGGTGCCAGGCACCCGCAGGCAGCAGCGGAGCCCAGGAGCTGTGGATGGTACTGGAGGAGTCAGGATGGAGGAGCAGGAGTGGGCACCGGACGCAGGGTTAAGTGTTAAACTGAAGCCAGGAAGTGCAAATCAGAATAAAAGCTTCATCAGTCATTTATACAAACAACTGCAGTTTTTAATTTCAAACTTGAAAGACAAGCTACAATTGATGTTTTCTCCTTAAAACAATAAAAATCAGAAGCATGATAGTAAGAAGCAGCTTTACATCTTACAGTAACAGGCTTTAAGGTTCTATTATTGAAATGGAAAGCTCTACCATGTTAGTGAAAGCAAGAATTTTAACAGTTCATAAAGCAGTAGCAAGTACATTGAGGTTTCCTTCCCCCCAGGACTGACAAATACTCCACCATAGCACAGACAGCCAAAGCAACAGCAACAGAAAAACATCTCACTGCACAAAGGAGACCCAGAAAACCCTTCACATTACAGCTCACTTGCAGATCACCGGTTCAGGTACTTTTGTCATGCAAATACAGTTAAACAAGAGTCACAAGTAGAAATCGAAAACACAACCCAGCAGTTTCTTCCAGTTGGATTGAGGAAGATCAAGCATCATGTCTTATTCTTTTGATCTTTCTTTAAATAATGATGTAACCAGATCCTTTCCCCCTGAATTATAAAGCTACCCACATCTGGCAACCCCAGCAGCAGAGAGTTAAGCGAGTCCAGTTCATGTTCCACATCACAACGGTTTACTAAAGATCTTAAGTATTGTTTTCAGTCCAGAGCTAATACAGAGGTTGCTCTAAGGTGGTAACAGGCACAACAGCTTTCAATCAAGGTGGTTTTATTCATGTTTTAACCAGGTTTCTACAGTAGTGGGACAGAGGAAGCAGCAGCAAGAGGGGAAGGAGAAAGTTTAGAATATACAGCACTTCCTTTTGGGCTGAGTTTCCGGAGGCTCGAGGGCAGCTAGGATAGCCTCATCAAACACATTCTTCAGACCTCTCTACAAGACAGAGGGGAGGAGAAAAAACAGCAGCCAGGTTAGAGGATTAGAGAAAAACAAGCAGATACAAAGAGCATTCAGGATAGACCAGGCTGAATTCACAGAGGCAGCAAACGGATTTACTTTGTAAGAAACAAAGTAGATCCCAGGAGGAAATCTCATTTAGATGACCCAGAAGTCAGTGTTAAGAGACAGACAGAACATGTGATGGACCAAGTTAGACAAAATGAACCCCAAGAAGGGCAGAGGCACAAACACAGTTGGCAGGAACACAGAGGGGGAGAGGCTGCACAAGAAATGGTGGTTTCCACTTCACTGTGAACACACACATGGGGAGATTACAGGGGGATAAACACAGTGGAGAGCAGCTGGTCCCACCACAGGGATCCAAAGGGTCAGGTAAACCTTTTGCAGTCACCCACAGTGGGTAAGCAAGTGCCTCCAGTGCACAGGCTTACTGCTCCCAACCACCCCAGTGAGTCCAGAGCAAAGGCTCCAAACTCCTCGTGCTTTGTGAATTCAGCCCCTGAATAACTGAAGATCTCCAGATGGCTGTCAAAACAGGATCTGGGATCGAAGCAGAACCTCTCTGGTGAAGCAATCACCACCTTCAGACACTGGATGTCAGTCCCTGAAGCAGCGATGCGACACCTCACCAGTGCTGCTAAGGAGCCAGCACGGTAACGGTGCAGTTATTCAGCTCAGTACCAAAGCCAGTCTAACCAGTCAAGTCATGGGAAGACAGAACAGCATTAGGATTGGAGTGACTGAGATCCAACAAGCAGAGAGCTGCAAGGGGGCTGCAAGGGATTACACTGGAGCATGAGGCAAGCGCTGCATCTGCGGTAGCACAACGGGAGCTGCAGCTCTGCTGAGCCACACTAATGCCAGCAGTGAAACCCAGCTCCGGCTGCGCCAACTGGACTCGCCTAAATCTGCTGTCAGGAGAGCATCCTTCTGAAGTTCAGGACTGCCTGAGCCCAGCTCAAGACAAAGAGAAACTTCAATGACTTCCTGTCAACAACTGCACTCTTTGCAAAAATGGGGATTAACTTTTTCAGTCATTCAGATGTAACTGGTTTCTCCCTCACAGGCTGGACTGGTACATCCCTTTTAGAAGGTCTTTAATCTTGTTTTACATGGGAGGTCTTTAAGGCAATTCCATCTGGAAGCATTTAAGTCCGTATTGTTACAGGCAAGATTATACTTGAGAGAACAGAAGTTAAGGAAATCACCATGTGTAGCCATTCTGTACATCCTCCCAGCAGCTCTTTTTAAATGAGCTGACAGAAGAACTGGAGACATGAGATAAATCATACAATAACGCCTATGGGAAGGCTGAGCACTAATTAGATATTCTTGCCCTGCAAGAGTAAAGCTGGTGTATAAACTCATTATGCCCTGTTAGATAGATTAAGGATGCAGGCAGGGCAGGAGTCAGGGAAACATGCTTCCTTAGTTCTGCTAGGGGACTCCGCTCTTGTTTTCCTACTGCACAGGAGAAATTAATTTGGAGAACAGGATTTGGGATTTGTTTTGAAGAATCCAGCAGGAAAATGGAGAAGGGAAGAGCGGGGGTACACAGGAGAGAGACAAAATATTTGTGGAGGTGGGAGTGGGCTTAAAAGCCTGGATGAGACAAGAGTAATGACAGGAAAGGACTTGAGTTTGATACCACTGGCACATGGGCCTCGATACGGTGGTTAAAGTACCACAGCTCCTGTGCTGCACTGGGACTAGGCTGAGGTCAGGCTCCTTCACCCCCCTTTGCAGGCAGTTTAAGACACTTTATAAATCTGACTGTGCCAGAACTGTCAACCGAGCATCAGGGGGAGGAAAGGAGCTGAATTCAAAGTTCTCCCTTGTGTTAGGTACCAGCCCTGAGCTTCAGGAAGCCCACTCACACATTTAACTCAAGTGTTACAGTCTGTTTAGTTGTCATGTCTGTCAGTCACCATTTCCTAAAGCAAAGTGTCACCCACTTTTTACCGTGGTATTTAGTACTGTTATGTAGAGAAACAAAGACAGACATTGAAAAGTGCTTTCATCACAAAAAGGGATTTCACAACCCCTAGGAAAGGAGGGCTAGAACCGTCTCCTCAGTACTGCTGGCATCCAGCCTCCAGGAGGAGGAGATAACTCAGCCTCTTGACTCCAGAACATTGGCTCTTCCACACAACAAGCAAAATCTTGCTCCCAGGAAAAACAACAACATGCTCTGGCTCCATGATTTTATGATCACTTGCTACCATGGTGTCAAAAGTCATTTCTAAATTAGCTGGGAAGTAAAAAGCCACCCTGGACTGCTAAGGTGAACCGTGGAGATAAAGGCCAAGATAAGGAGAGGATGAACTACCCAACTGAGTCAAGCTTCAGTTGACACCAGCTACTGTGACTGCTTCGTAGCTAAGAAAACCACCCTCCTAAAACATCAATGGGTACAGGAGCCCTCGTGCTCTGAAGGAAATTCAGGCTGAGCTTCTAATTCATGAGGCTGTTCTCTGCAACAGATAGTTTAGTCTGTCTGGAAATGAGAATGGTTAAACACTGACATTTTTAATTGTATCACCTCTTTCTCTGGTAATTCTAAGTGCTCCCATGCAATTTAAGCAGACTAAACAAGGTAAGCTTAAAGCTACAGAGGAAAGGATCTCAGTAAGCAGTACAGGACAAAATGGTCCTGGTACGTATTAATCCAACTGACAGATTCTAACAAGTTCTAATGAGCAGCAGGATTCAGGATGTGCCAGACACCATCTAAAAATGGTACTCTGGGGGTGACCAGATCTAAGAGAAGTACAGCTCAAGCACAACTAACCCTCAGCTTGCACACGGGCAGTAGGGAAGCACAGCCAAAAGCACCTTTGGATCAGGGATTCCCAGGATGGACTGTGTGCCTCACCACACCACCTCCTGCACAACTCCATCAAAGCCTCTTCCTTCTCAGCAAACAGCCAGGCAAAGCTTTGTTAGTCAACATGCAATCTGGGCAAAAAGTGCAAGACAGGCAGGACTTCAGGCTTCTTGAAGCATAGAGATAAAGCTTTGTGCTGAAGAAGATGAATATAACAAAACTGAAAAGGTGAGGGACTTGACACTGTGCAGCCCTAATTCCATGCACATCAGGTAGGGACAAGTTCTTGAGAGTAGCATTAAGGAATCTATTGAAGAGTTATCACAGTTCTGCAAGACCAGGCACGCAAGATCAAGTTCCCAGGGCATCCAAAGTCAAAGCCACACATCAGCAAGGCAGCCAATGGCTCCCATCCACCCCACCCTACTAATCCTAACTTAAAGGGAAAGGATAATCAGGTTTCCTGGCCTCAAAGCAGCTATTTTTGTTGGCTTTAGACTCATGTTCACAAGTCAGTTCACTCAACATCACCATGTTTACATCTTAAGAGCTATTTTATTATTAGTTTCTCTTTCAACAGAACTTCCACCTTAAGACGGACACAGGAAACAGCTCCCCACCAAATGCACAGGAAAGGAAAGCAGCTCACAACTGCTTCTAGTCTCAGAAGTACCAGTACTGACTTCAAGAAGATTTCTGTCTTTGCCTGCTCTCTTCAGCAGTGAGCTGCATTCTGTGTCCCACTTATTATCCATAACAAACCTAAGTTTTCAGCAGCTATCTCCCTCCAGTACAAAAGTCATCACAGCAAACACATCCTCTTCCATCACCCTCTACACTGTGCCTACTCTGCACAGGCTGGTTTTCTTTGTACCGCTGCCAAGTCCTTGTGCCTTAGAACAACAGGACAAAGAGAAAGCTACAATGTCAACACCAGGAACAGAGCTTATACCCTTTCACATCCATACTAAGATGACTTTCCCCATAACTGAAAAAAGCATGGAATATAAGCAAGCAATAGGGGTCCAAGACCACCCCTTACCTGCGTCAGTGCAGAGCACTCCACGTATTTAACAGCCTTCAGGTCCCGGGCCAGCTTTTCAGCCGTCTCTGGAGTTATGGGCTTCTGCTTGTTCTTGGCAAGTTTCTCAATTGTTGAGGGGTCATCTCGTAGATCAATTTGGGTGCCAACAAGCAGGAAAGGAGTCTTTGGACAGTGGTGAGTAATTTCAGGTACCCACTAAAGGCAGAGAAGAGACAGTATTTGTTACTAACCAAGTAACAAATAAGCTAACTCCTGACGTACTTCCAAACCACTGCAGCAGTTGCCTTTCTAGGTAAGAACTCCACCAACCTTTTCTTTCACATTTTCAAATGAAGAAGGAGACACCACTGAAAAACAGACCAGAAATACATCTGTCTGTGGATAGCTGAGTGGTCGTAATCTATCATAGTCTTCCTGACCTAGAGAGGAGAAAATTGACACAGTATTAGACCCAGACAGTGAAAATCTGCCCTTTGCAGGCAATCAGAATGCATATTCCAGCACAACAGCATTACTGTGTTTAATCCTAACTCTTAAGCAAATACACATGCCCTGGACCCAAACATTCAAAGATCCTAGTTCTCTAATCCGGAATTCATTCAGTTGCTGTGTAACAATGAGCAGCTTACCAGCACAGAGAGCTGGGAATCTGGCAGAAGCATGTGTAATGAAAGCTTAGATCAAACACCCTCAGTGTGCATGGCACTCTCCTCAGTTATAAAGAACAGTTGCTGAACGGGGATCTGGTTGTAGATGAGGTGTTCTGCACCTCTTCCGTTCATTAGAGGTATTGTGCCATCGAATTTGATCGCCCTGCAAAAAACCCTGCAGTTTGGAGGAGGAACAATCACTAGGAGGTTCCAACTTAGCTTGTGAACACTGAGGAAGGTATCCCCCAAACAGCAAGAAGAGAAAGCTGCCATTACAGGCATTCAGCAGCGTTCCCCTAGAAACACAGGCAACCCAGCCCAGGCTGTGCTCCAGAGGAAGCCAGGCTCCTCCCCTTGGGTCCAGCATAGGCGGAGAGAGCCTGCAGGGCACTGCCCCTCCAGCCCAACGCTGCCGGAGCTCATTCATCCTCCTGCTCAGTTCAGCAGCACTCTGCTTTCAGAAGCAAGCCTGCCTGAAGAAGCTGTTGTATTCACTGAGAGCCAAATAAAAAACTTGTGATCTGAGGCATTTTGAACAACTGATGCTCTCCCACCTATCACAGAGAACACAGACATCTGAGATCCTAAGGGACTTGACTCAACACCTGGGACAGCTCAAAGGAGGCAGATCTGCAGCTGGAAGATGTAAGCCCCATGGATACAGAGGAGCCAAACACCGATCAGAACATCTTACTGCAATTAACAGACCACTCCAAAGAGCTTCTCCATAGTATAAGCTCAAAACAAAGAATTTGTTTTTAATTTAACAGTTAGCAATAGGGGGTTTAATCATACAATTGCTTGGGTTGGAAGAAACCCTAAAGAAGGGACCTTAGTGCCAACCCCCTGCCACAGGCAGGGACACCTTCCACTAGAGTTCAACCTGGCCTTGAGCACTGCCAGGGATGGGGCATCCACAGCTTCTCTGGGCACCCTGTGCCAGTGCCTCAGCACCCTCACAGGGAAGAGCTTCTGCCTAAGAGCTCAGCTCAGTCTCCCCTCTGGCAGGTTCAAGCCATTCCCCTTGGCCTGTCCCTACAGGCCCTTGTCCAAAGCCCCTCTCCAGATTTCTTGCCAGTCCCTTTAGGCACTGGAAGCTGCTCTAAGGTCTCCCTTCTGTCTTGACATTTGGTCAAAAAGAGGCTGTTTACTAAACAAAACCCACACGCAATCTATGTATTTTATACAACACAATTTCCTCCTTTAGTCTTGTTGAAAAATGCAGAAGCCCTTTATCCTTCAGGTATCACCTTGATTAGAGGTGAAAGTTCCAAAGTTGTCATCTGGTGTCACACAACAGAACAGCTCTATAAAGCAAGTGGAATGTGTTCCTTGGTTGGAATGTTTTTTTGGTTTGGTATGTGGTTGTTGTTGTGGTTTGTTTGGGGGCTTTATTTGTTTGGTTGTTTAAGAACTCAATTTAGCAACTACCCAAAGGTCAAGAATGCAGAATCAAGAAGTATCTTTCCCTTTCATAAAAAACATAATCAACTGTATGTCTTCATGGTCAGCATCACCTTAACTAAATCTTGGGCAGTTACAAAGACCCAAGCAGTTGATTTCTCACCTGCAGTATCAAAGAGGCCCAGGGTGTAAGGCTCTCCTCCAATCATCACCGTTACAGCATAGTTATCAAAAACCTGAAAACAAGAGACAGACACATTCAAGAGGATGTGAATAAGCCACTTCTCAAGCCAGCACCCTACTCACCTTGCCAGGGCTCCTCCATGCAAGTCACCTGCACAGGGTAAGAGAAGCCACGAGGCTCCCAGTGCTATTGCCATTAAGGCTGTTAATAGGACAATTCAATCTGGAATAGGATGCAGGAGCTGCTTCCATAAGGCATCTAAAGCAAGGGAACACTGGGTGTATGAGTGCAGGTTAACAGGGGAGAAGCCACTGAGTGGAACACCTGCAACAGCTCTTGCCTGTAATTGCAAAGAGATTTCCCACATTGCACACAAATCTCCACCTTCACACTTGGTCTGACACATAGAAGACATGCCCATAGAGACTGAACAGATAAACTTCAGCACTGCCCTTCAGGGCACAGAGCTGTGGGGCTGACTCTGCCAGGACCTGAGCCCTCTGACGTTCATCTCTGCGAACACCCAGGGAATTCCATACAGAGCCCATCTCTCCAACAGGAATTTATCTTCCATCTTTGGAGGAAGCACTACAGTTGGTCAAAATCAGTCTGTGTCAGTGGAGAATCTGGTTCCTAAGTTATATTGTCTGGTTCAGCATCTGGCACAACAGTTCTGTCCTCAAGGGCAGATCAAAAGCCAACGCTGCTGAAAGGGTTTCACCCAGTAACTTGTTTACAACACAGCTGTGCATAGGGAGCTGCCTCCTTCAACACCCACATAAAGGAGTAAACTGTCTGAGGTCAGCATCCTTCATTCAAGAGCCATTTGATCTTCAGAACCACAGCAGACAGCATTTCAGAAAGTACCCCTGGCAAAACATCCTTCCCACTGTCACGAGAAGACCAACCTCTACCTGCGCTGTGCTGCAAGGTCACCCCAAGCCAGAAGAGAGCTCTGAGCACAGGGAAGCTCTGCTTCAGCATCAAACCGAGTCTGAGCAGCTCCCACAGCAGAAGTAACCCACACTTGAAGAGGGCAGCAGCCATCTCAAAAAGCTTTTCATGCAAGTGAGGGAGAAATAAGCAGTCACATGCACCTACTAACAGGGCTTTAGGAAGAGCTTAGGTCTTTGGGAAAAATCCCACTAAAACCAGAGGTAAGACCAGTGAGACGGTGCTTCAAAGCTGAATTCCAAGTGCTCCATCTGCCTCCCCTCCACCCAATGTCCTGGTCACAGCAGTACCTGACACTATACTGACTCTTCCCAACTCTTCCCAACCCATAGCAATTGAGAAAGTGGCTGCATGTCCCCAGGAACAGCAGCAGAAGCAGAGGTCCACCCCTGGCACACTGTTCTGGATCAGCATTCAAGATTTTAAAGTACAAGAGATTCCAACCCCCACCTCCCTACCTGCAGCCCAATCTTTCACACAGCACACTGGGTTTGCCTCATGGAGCACCCCAGACTAAGGCCCTGGGGCTTAGGAGGGTGGGAAGCACCTCACAGAGCACATTCAGTATGCCATGCCTACTGCTTCAAGACTCGAAAGGACAGACCAGGATGGGAACCCAGCTACTGTCAGGGTCAGAACAAGAAACTGGTATGGTCCATGCTGAAGGTCAGAGCATTTGCTCTTTCAAAGCATCTTTCAGATGTCTGAAGATGGTCAGCAGCTTAATCCCCCAAAGGCATCCCTCATTTCCCAGGGGACAGGGAGTCAATAATACTACTTGGAGCTGCCCTTTAGGGGAATCAGCATTCCCTTGCATCAGGATTTATTTTTCAAACTCTCTATCTACAGAATGGGATATTTAATTTTTGCTTTTTAAGGTACAGCTACTATTGAACAGGTCTGGGGTTCAGCCCCAAACTGGCCAGGGTGACAGGGCTCCCCTTCAGACAGACCCACTGCAGTCTCACAGCATAACCCATAGACAGCTTCACCCTCGATTGTGCCAAACAGGCTAAAAACCAGAAGAATTAGCCCAACAAGAAGCTCCAACTCCTGCCAGTGCCAGACAGCCCAGAGCAGGCAGCATGAGCTCTGGTGTGACAAAACTCACCCCCAACCTGCCCACGCCTCTCCACAGGCATGCCCTTCACTGCCCTTTCTGATAATGGCAATGGCATCAAGAACATGCAGGTGACAAATCATGTGTAACCACCAGTATGAAGCCCATCTCCCACTGGGAAATAGCTTCAAACAAGAGAGAGGGCTGCAAAACACAGAGCCAAGTTAAAGAAACTCATCCATCAGTCTGGACTGGTGCATTCTCCAGTGTTTGTCCAGAGAAGATGTGGCTGGATGGGGCTTGGAGCAACCTGCTCTAGTGGAAGGTTTTAGCAGAGATTTTCAGACAGTACCACCATCTGCAGGGTGACCTCAGAAGCTTTCAAAATACACACTGTAAGATAATAGCATTTTTCAACATAATTAAAGGATCATTTCACTAGGGATAAGTATAGAAACACTCACTGCCTGAACTCCCACTTTCATTTTGTCTTGACCATAAAGAACAGTTTAAATAGGGCAAGCAGAGCTCCACAGGTCAGCAAAGGATGTGGCTGTCCCAGAGCACCACAGCAGGATACTTAACACCACTCTCAAAAGACTTGAGCATAGCAATACACAGTTTCAAATACAACTTCTCAACTGGTCTGTACCAAAGGACCTCCATGAGAGAGGCTGAACCTGGGTCCCCATGCCTGCAGCACAACCCTCAGGCTCCTGATAGTGGCCACTGCATCCAACCTGAACACAGGTCTGGGAGGCCTTCTATCTTTAGTTCCTGATCCACAGCTAAACACAATCATTTTTGTTCTGTGGAAGCCTGTCCTATTCTTAATGAACCTCAAAGTTGGCAAGTTGAAAAGCTCTGGGTAGTGGACAAAGCCAATACCCCCAAAAGAGGCAATGATGTTTGTTGCAACTTCTTTTCCACTTTATAAAGAAGTGACTATTGCAAAAGATCTATGGGCAGAGCTATCTGGCACCTCAGAGGAGCCCTCTGCTCTTTTAAGTTGCTTTATAATAACACAAAAGATGACTGACCCTTTCACCAGCAGGTGCTGAACCTATCTGTGATGCACTTCCAGATCCAAATTTGTTTGAGGTACCTCAGTAAACTCTTCAACTCATTTATCAGTAGATGATGGCCCTTCTGGGTTATAACAGAGAAAACTCATGAAAAGAGATGTCAAAGTGTCTTGCAGCAACCTCACTAAAACACTGAACCACCTGAGTGCCCGAGCTGTATCAGTATATGCAAGATTAAGAAGAAAAGGACTCTTCTGTTAGAAAGATAATGCAGATACCACAGGCAGGCAGCAAACTGCTCCCACCTTGAGCTTTACATAAGGCAGGGATTCAGTATCTCAGAACAACAAGCCTGTAAAACTCAGAAAGATTACTCAGAAATAGCCAAGGACTATACAGATATTTGGAAGTACAAATGAATGAGGCAGCAAAGTCTAAATCCAAACCCATTTCTCAAGCTTAGCTGCAGTTAACCAGCCACACTTTGTAACTCACAGCAAGACCTCTGGATCTTAAGAGTTGCAAAGCAAAAATGAGCATCTAAAAATAGACCCTGGCTATTCTAGCAACATAAATACTGTTTTCCCTAAAACCGAAGGCGTAGCAAGGGCTGAGGGAGCAGGCTGAGAGCTGGTGCTCCTGCTGCCTGCTCTCCACTCACAGTCCTGACAACTGCAGATTTTCTCATTCACAGAATCCCATCTGGTGGCATCAACAAACAGAAACCCAGGTTCTGAGGAGCAGTCAAGCAGCAAGAACTGCCTAGATAGAGGAAAGGCAGCCCAGCACCACCAGGCAGCATGAAAGATGGGCAGCAGTAGCATATCAGAGTGATCATTACTCTCCCACGATGTATTAGCCTCCAAGAGGAAAGCAGGCTGTACGAACAAGCATTAGGATATGCACAAAGGTTAGTTAGGAAGGAAGCTCCTGCTGCCCTACACCATTGTGACCCAGGACAACAGGAGAAACTGGCACACTTACCGTTGGTACATATTCCGATGGGAATTTATTTGTTGTGTAAGAGATTAAGAGACAGGTTTTACCAACAGCACCATCACCCACGACTACACACTTGATCGTCTGCATAGCTGAAGTCTACTTGAGTATCAGCTCCAACAGAACCTAGGGAAAAAGGAGATACACACACTTAGATGTTTCTCACACTCACTAGACAGCAGCACACATCATCAGCGAGCTTTGGAGCCCAAACCACCTACAGCACATGTCAGGGATCTGAAAACAAGACATTCCTGGTAGATCTGTGCCTCCATCACACACCCAATAGGAAGCTGCTCATTTTCATACATGCAAATACCTCAACACCAGACCCCTCCCACAGCATACATTGCACCACCTCAGACTATGTTTGGCGCAGTCACTTCTCTGCACTGTGAAGGAGCACTGGGTGAATTCAGTCACTGTTTTTACCTACTTACCCAGAGGTGGGCAAAAAGGTCTTAAAGGCTTTTCCAGCTTTGTTTTTAATGTAGGGAAGCATCCAGCCTTAGAGGCATTGAAAGTCTGAGCTGGGGTCCCAAGAGCTGCCCAATAACCCATGTGCCTCCTAGATGTGCCCTCTGGAGAGCACTTGGGTAAAGCAAGCTCAGCAAGAAACACAGCAGCAGCAACTTTCAAACTAGGTTATGGGATAAAAATAAGCAGGTACAGACAGAAGTAAACATGACTAATTCCTCCTCCCCTCACCTTTTTTAAGGCCTAAATACAGTTCTACAACCTTCACGGTTCAAGTTGCTACTTAACATGTACATTTATCCCCACTTTGAAGTGGCCAACAGCCCTGAGCAGCTCAGCGGGATGCCAGTTCCCAAGGAATCCGGTTACTCCCATGACATTACACAGCCATCATGCACCCAGATACCTTCACATTGTCCCAGCAGAGACTTCAGCACAATAACTAGATCAGTATTTGCCATCAAAACCTCCTCCAGACATTAGCTACAGTGCCAGACACTGCTGCCCTTCATTAGTATATGACTTCAATGCAAGAAGTGCCAGGCCTCTGGCCATTCACCCACACAGAGGGGTGAAATCCTGACCCCACAAGCCTCAGGCAAAGCCCCCGCTGACCTTCAACATCTCCATATTTGAGTTACAGCAACACAGATTTGCAAACTGAGTTACCCCCTGCCAGGGGTGGGAGAGAGGACAGGAAGGGACAGCTTCTACAGCAAATTCACCCTCAGGATGGTGGCAGTGCTTTACCCTCCCAAGGATGGTACCACAGCTCTCAGGTGGGGGTAACTGCATTAAAACTGAATTGACCCCTACTGAACTCTGCATGGGGGCACTTCCTGGGGACTGCATGCCCGAGGGATCTGGAAGCCCAACACAGTTCCAGGCTTTTGAGTGCTCTGGTCCCAGCTGCAGCATGATTTGATACTACACATCACAGCATCACACTTGCAGGGACACGTAACTGGTAACAGCTCTAAACTTACTCGGATGCTGTAGGGATGCTCAGAGATTTACATGAAGCCTTCATAATAAACATCTTCAGGAGTTCCTACAAACTCCTTGTAGAGGAAAACTAATAACCACCATCCCACCAGCCACAGGGAGATGTACAAGCAGTCAAGTACAGGAAGTGGTAGCAAAAGCTCTCTTGGAGCAGAACATTAGGCAGCATCTGGAATGTCACACTCACAACACCACTGCCATTATCTATACATTTCCATTTATACAATCTTCTTTCAACATATAAAAATGATGGATTTGCACAGGCAAATCCTCTTGTACTGGCTGTAAGTGTTTCAGTATCAGAATAACAGAATCCATTGATTTATGCAGCAGACCTCAGTTGCAGCCAGCACATGACCAGCGAAGCGTATCAACAGGCCCTTCATTAATGCTACAAAAAACTGAACACATTTACTCAGGTGGACAAAGCAATTGCTTCCATTTCAAGAAACGTCTTCTGCATCCAGGTCAGGTTTGTATCTAAGCAGTATTAGACAATATTGCCCCAGCTGTGAAGGTGCTCCATAGATGGGCCTTGCTATGCTGGTGGCATTGAGCAGAGAAAACATTTCAGACTAAAAAAGACACCCTCAGTCCCACAAGGAGATAGGCTTCTGCTCCCAGCAAAGGTGGAAAGGGAAGGGTCACTTGCACAGCAGATTTCAGAAGCAAATCAAGACAGGTACAAGGCATGGGTAACAACTCAAGCACACTCCCATTAAAACCAGCCCAACTCACCAGCCTGCCCCACTGCCTCCCCCATGGAACAGGGCACCACCACCAGCCACAGGGCCATGCTGCTGCACAGTACAGGGAGCAGCCTCCCTGAACCCCGTTCAGAGCCAATATATGAAATACAAAATATCTCTCACACTGGTGTCCCTGCTACATCTCAGATGCCTTTTGAATTGAACTGGGATTCATCACATTGTCCCTGCCAGAGCCGGAAATCCTTGTCCCAGCTGCCCTTGCCCACCCAAGAGCCCATCCACCTCCAGGTTAACAGCCCCTTCAGAGAAACCCAGGCTCCCTTCCCACCCCTCAGCAGACATCCCAGCCATTCCCTGTCATTCCCCTCCCTTCCTACCCTCTTGCCCCAGTTATTTCTATTTCCTTGTTTATCCATAACTCTGGTTTCATATCCGCTTCAGCCACCCAGAACCCACACTAGAGGAAAAGTCCAGACTCTGAAGCACTTCCTATGCTCACTGCTCCATACCAATCCATGATTAACTATACATCTCAACACCCCATACTGTGTAAGAAAAGCTCCCATGTGTTCACATATCACAAACATATGTTTAGTGTTGCTCTTTAAAACTTCTTCCTCCAGAGAGCACCAAGCAAACAACAAAATGGAACCACAGTATCAGAAAGCTCATCAGCTCAAACAAATTGGCTGCAAAACCCCATGTCCTTCCCCACCTCAGCACAGCCCAGTGCCCACACTTGGCTCTGGGGGAGAAGCTGCTGGGTTTTGGTAAGGACAAAGACAAAGTACAAGCTGCACACACACACTTTGCCTGTGGATCCCATTATTCCTGTAGCAGCCCTTCACAGTGAACACCAACTTTATGTACACAATTATCCTCACACCGCAGAGAACACCAGCAGCTCACATTAAGAATACCTCCTATAAAAGCAGGGCTTCCTCTCAACTCTGCACCCCAAGTTCACTCCTGTTTGGTTGCTGGTTTTCTTCCTTTCTAAAGGAAGGTATCAACAAAATTGACCATTAAAAGCACTGAACTGGCTCAAAGAAGTTCTATATGTGCCACGCAACTACCACCCTTCTCACACCACTGTTTAACTGCCCCCCACCCCAAGAGACACTTCAGGATCACATCTTTAAAGGATCAAATGCATTTAAGCTCATATCCAGGTAAAGGGATCCCCTCACCTTTTTTTTCTTAATGGATATATAACTTTATCTTTAAACACCGAAATAAGATGACCTAAGGTTAAAACAGATACGAGTCTGAAGCATAGGGCTCCAACAGCTTGCCAGTGGGAAAGTGGAGCTGTTGAGTAAGTTGTTCTCCTTGGATTAGTCGGCTTTCTAGATTAGCTGGATGAGCCACTTCATGATTTCCACTTCTAAGAAGTCCACAGCAGACAGCTGAAAACATGCTCATTTTTGAGCTTAGATCCTGGGACCTGCTCTTCCATAGGAACAGCTTTGAAGACACTTACATCATGGGGTTTAAAAAGTGATTTAATCCAACATGAGCTACAACTACGGAATAACTCATCCCCTGAGTGCAACACCAAAAGAGGCAGAAAGAAAGAATTCCAGGGTTTGGGTTTTGTTCCCTCTCCAAAGCAGCTAGTAGGAAGTCTACACTGACAACACCCAGCAGAACTAGAAAACACTGAGTAGTTTCAAGTATCTGAGGGAATTGAAACAGATTGGAAAGCACTGGAGTCATCCCAGTTTGAATGCAGGGGGTGGATTTTGAGCCATGCAATCATGAGCCATGGTGCCAAACCCAGAGAGAAGAGCTGATAAAGACTGGGAAGGCTACACCAACCAGTGTGACTTATGGCTGCCCAGCAAGTTCTAAAGACTTAAAACCCACACTGAACTGATTTCTCAAACCTCTCTGTATGGTAATCAAAAACATCAGCGCTTCACTACAGCACATGTTAAGTGCCCATACTTCTAACATTTGTTGGATTTTCATCTGTTCAGCACCTGGTCACACGAACAGAACTTCACAGAACCCAGGATAACTGGGAGGCAGCATCCTGGAAACTTGACTACAAAGCTTTGTGAGCTGGAGTAGATTCATTGGGTGGCCCTGCTCCAGACTGAACTGGCCCATTTTACAGCCTCACACTTTCATCAGAGAGCTGATCTGCACTTAAGAGTTAATCCCAAAACGTGGCAACAGGGATGCAAGTGTTAAACTCCAGTCCCAGCAGGATGCAGTGTTACCCAAGGGGTAAGAATCTGCAGGATCTTGCCTTTACTTTTGCTCTACAAGCAACTCGAAGCGGAAACCATAAGCCTTCATGCTTGTTAAAACTCCTTTTATTTTTAAGCTACCCAAAGTCTGTTTTCAGGTTGAAATGTGCCCATTCTCCTAGGCAAAGGAAACCCAGCTGTCAAATCTGTCTGCACATCCTGCACTAGCTTCCTGACAAGCCTCAGCAGCACCACAACTTCCTCTTTCAGGCAGGCCTGAAACTGCTGCCATTTCATCACAGGTACCACTGCAACCACTGCCTGATGACCCACAGCCATTTCATGATGCTCTTTAGTACACACCATTACCTCAGCAGGCCAAGGGGAACCAGTCCCTCGCAGCTTCCAGATCCTGTTGGAAAGGCTCAAACAGATCCATTTCTGAAAAGCAGGAATAAGACCTTTTTTTTCCCCCTCCCAAACAAGGTGATTTTTACACTAACAGGTCACTCAGGTAACTACTGTGCAGTCAAAGCACTTGGGAGTCCACAATGGAAGTAACAACACTCACAAGATTTTACTCATGATCTGCTAACCACTTTACCCTTCCGAGCTGCTTTCCTACCTCATAAAACCCCCCCCCCCATTATTAAATACATGTCTGTATTTCATCACTGGTTCCTAGGTTAATCACACCCATTTCAAGGCACCCTTGCCCTACCACTTCAAGGTCCTT